TGAAGGGATCACTGGAAGCTTTTTAGGACTCTGCTTTTTTTTTTGCTTTCTTATTTTGTTGCTGTAGACATACAACTCCACTAATTGAAATTTGATTTTACTTTTATATTGGTTGGTTGTATATACTATTTTGTGACTTAGCCCAGATCACCCCTTTTGTATATACTACTCAGAATTACTACTAAAAGTATATAATCATTCTAATTTCCCGTCTTCCAGTAACATCTCTATCTCCATCTCCATCGCCTATCCATGTCTTCGTTGAAGGTATCGTTTTAGTCCTCTCCTTTCATCAAAATGACTTGCCCTAAACTCAACAATAAAAAAAATTACGAAAAAGAAATGCACAACAACAATAATCATGTTGCAAACGGCATACAACACACCTACAGATAACAGGAATAGAAAAAGATGGAAAGCTAAAAACATACTAGACAACTATAAATTCGTTAGCATAATCTCCGTCCTTGAAATTAGTCGCCATGTCTTGAATACATGTAAACCAATGCTAATCGAGCTTTCTATAACTACACTACTACATACACAGAAAATCATGTCTGTTTTTATACTTCTATGTTTTCTGTCATTGGTTGAGAGGAGCGGCGGTCACTCAAATAAGCATGAGAAGAATTATAGAAGGAGATGACAGGGTAAAGAAGTCTATTGATCAACTGAGAAAAACAGAGGTGGTGGACCGGTGGTGACTGAACACTCCCCCTTGCGAGTGCCTCTTTCTTCATTTGCTCTATTCGTCGTATTGAGTTGTTATCGTAGTTTTACAACTTGACGTCTTAACTGTAAAGTCCTTTTCTGAACTATAGCTAAACAGACCACTGATTAAATTTATCACTGCATAATCATTCAACCTCATCGACCATGCACTTTGTTCAGGTGCCATAATTGCTGTAAATTATGCTTTTGTAGTTTTTAGTGTTACCATCCATTGTTTCTTACTACACCAAGACATCATGTCATCCAAGACTGAATAAGTACATTTCATATTAGTTGACTGATCCATTTTGTGATTCTAGAATAATCATCATCATAGGAACGGTTCGAGCCCATGCCGTGATGCAAGGGAAACACTCCTCTCCACCACTATGGTAGAGGGCCACTTGCATTTGGCAAAAGAGATGAAAAGTAATGGTGGAAAGATTCGAGTTTGCCCAATTAGGGAGTGATGCAGTTCACGTAGAAGCTGCAGAAAATAGGAAGGGATATAACCATGCACAAGCTAAAAGAAAGAGAATAGGAAGGGCCATATTTTCCAGGAAAATACCTTCAGGACTTGTCAGAAAACGAAGGATTCAAACCTAAGGGAACCTTCAAACACACTACCCTAGCACATCATTGTCTATCAGAACCAATAAAGGAGGAAGAGTGAGAGAGAAAACTTTGATGCAACATCAAAATCTGCAGTTATGAAACATTTTAAGAGGAAAAAGAATGAAGTTATGAAACATTACAAAGAACTTTTGTATTAAGTCTTTTACTGAAAAGAAAGGGTTCACCTTTTGTCGATTCAACAATTACAGGTTGACGGTAGCAGCATTTCCATCATCCTCCCCAAACCATCCCTTTATCTGTTAGGAAGACAAATGATTAATTGATATGCAGAGGGATGATCATGACAGGTACACGCTGGGATTATGTTGTTCGACTGATCCATTCGTTAACAAGTCATTTAACTCAAGCATATATGCCCTTCTAAAGATTGGACCCAAACTCAATTCGGCAGGGATATAGGAAAATAGAGTGATAGCACTCATACTTGGTTTTTCCAAAGTGGTTTTAATTGTCTTTCTATACAGATTTCATTTTGAAAGACTAATCTTTCTTTGACAATCCTTACTGTTCTAAGCATGCAATGACACAGTCCAAAATTCATACGAAAACTAATTTTCCACAATAATAAGTTTATATTAACTCCAATCAGATTATAGGAAAACGGATGATATGTAGAGGGAAAATTTGCGAACAACTGACAACACCATTAAGAATGATCATGACAACTGCGCATTTGTCTTGTTTAAAATACCTTAATAGCATAGCAATTAGATGAGGTCAACTGATTTCTTAGTGTGATTAGACTAATTGAAGAGTAATTATCGGATAATTAATGATATGCCAATTAATTATCGGATCTTGTAATCAAAATGCTGATTAAATATATATATATATATATATATATATATATATATATATAAAGTTAGGGATCTTAATACGGAGCAAGAAAATAATATTTCATACCCACCTTGATTGCTTGATCCCTTTTGGGAAGGGGAATGTTTGGATTGGAAACCCTAACTCTTTCTTTCCTCTTCATTCTTCTCAGTTTTTTTGGTAACTATTTTCTAATATCGGATTAAATGAGAAATATATATGTGAGAGGGTTTGAGGGCACTGTGGTAGTGCTACTACTACTTGGTATGCATGTAAAGCCATCTCCAACCGTTCTGACCAGAGGGCCTAAAATAGCCTGAAATGACGTGAAAACCATCTCCAACTAAGGGCCAGGCCAAAGGGCTTATGGGCTCCACTGGACCAAAAAAGGAGATAAGGGCCAACCGGTTGGCCTAAAGGAGCCAGCTAGATAGCCCGAGGCTGGGCTATAAATTTGAAACCGACGGCTAGCTGATATCAGTTACTGTTGGATTTGAATTTTTTTTTTTTTTTTGGGGGGCCAAAATTTAAAAAACAATATTTATAGGCCGAGAAAGGTATGATTAATTCAATGTTGGGGTGTTCCTTTTATAGGCCTGTTTGCTTGCTTAATTCTTTCCCACGCCCGATGTGAGACTATCTCAAACTAAGTTGTACTAGTAATTGGACACTTAAATTAAAAAATTAATTTAACATACAACTGTTAATCACCGCAAGTAGACATGAAAACGGCGCCAATTACTACGACAAAGTAAGTGTTTTCATAATTTATTTTAAATATTTAATTATATTACATTTAATTTGTTGTAGTTATAGTTTTTAAATTTAAATAATAAATTATGTTTGGCCTTATGGCTCTTTGGCCCTTTCGGTTAGGGATGATTTTTTGTCACAGGACTATGTTTGGCCTATGACCCTTTGACCCCTCGGTTGGAGATGGTAAGAAATATGACCATGTCCTGCTCATTAAAATATTAATTTCTTGGAGGGCTATATGGCTAAAACGAGTCATCTAGCCCTTCAGTTGGAGATGGCCTAAGGTGCCACTGGGGCATTAGACACGTGTCAGCATCAAGATACATCACTCAATACAATCAGCATCTCTACCACGTGGCTTTGTTTTTTCCCTTTCTTCCTTCTATTCATGATTCAAATTTTGAAAACTAACCAAACTTTGAATCATGAATTGAATTTTAACCAACCTCATAATTTATTATCATTCTAACCACAATTTGATATAAAACTACTAAAATACCCTTTTTAACTAAAATAATTGCAAAACTATGAAGTTTTTTCCCTTAGAAAAATACCTTCACTCGTAGGCATTTGACATCAGAAGCTCCAAAACTGCTTCAATTGGGTTACTCTTACATTGCTCTGCAGCTTCTCTCACTCCAACAGCTTTAAAACCTGTCAGCACAAATAGGTCCTCCTCCAGAAACCAAAATTGGAGCTTGAAATTTTCAAATGGGTACTTGCTGTTGAGAAGAAGGAAGAAAATCATAGCTTTGCATTGAAACCAGATGAGGCCACTGGGCCTTTCCCTGAATCTGTGCTACTTAGAGAGGTTGTTATTAATTTAGGCGTGAAAGTATTTTTAGGGAAACTAAACAAAATAGAAGATATAGTTTTGTAATTATTTTAGTTAAGAAAAGGTGTTGTAGTATTTTCATGTCAAATTTTGGTTAGAATTATAATAAATTATAAAGGTTGGTTAAAATTCTATTCATGGTTAAAATTTTTGCTAGTTTTCTAAATTTCCCGTCATTTAATTAATTTTCGTGCTCTTTGTTTTTGACTTATTATATTAACACTCCACAAATTATTAAATAAACCTCACATACTTAATACACCCCACATTTGCTTTTTCACTTAAAAATTATCTTAATACATTCCACATACTTTCCCATAATACCCCACACCCCACATTCTCAATATACATCTTATATTTTGTGCATACATCCCACATTTTCTTTACACCCCACATTTCTCAAATCTAATAACACTCATTTTTAATTTTCAGGGATTGAATCTAACCATTTGAACGTTTAGTTTGCTGAAAGATTTCAAATCATCTGAACGTTTAATTTGCCGAATGATTTCAAAATGATGCTTTGAAATCATCTTAGTATAGATTGAAATCATCTTATTAACGCATGCTAATTCGAAAAACACAAGTGATCCTTATTCAACTTCTAAATACAATGTTGAACCTATTATATCTGCCTCAGTTCCTAAGGGATGGGAGATCCCGACAAATGGCAAAAGATTGAGAGTAAGAGTTCTTGTAGAGAATGGTTATCCTCAATTTGTAAAAGTCTTATATGACTCTAGCACTAATACGACTGATGTTACTGGGTACGCAAGATTAATATTAACCCTAATATGAATATAGAAGTTTAAATAATGCAACAAAAGTAAGATTAAATAATTATTGATGTCATCGAAATTATTAAAACAATGAAAAATATGAAGTCTTACCTCATGTGAAGTTTCCGAAACATTGATTTCATGTTTCATTCGTCGAAAACAATTTTTCTCAATCAACATGTTTGTAGTTTCATTGGTTAGGGTTTTGTTCAACAATGGAGGATGTGAGGGTTTTGATAGTTGAGAAGATAAATAATACGCTAAAAGTGATTTGAGACGTATTTATAAATTTTTATTTTTTTAAAAACCTAATAAGGTCAAAATTATCAATGTATAGTAGAGTAAATAAGTCATTTAATATTAAATTTTAATACGGTGCATTCAACATTTTGTGAGGTGGTAGTATAAAATGCCTTGTTTTTTTGTTTTTTTTTATTTTTTCCCAACACTGAAGCGTCGAAATGGCCCTTCTCTCTCTGCCCCCTATCGTTCTCTCTCTGGCTCGGACGGACTCCGTCCACTTCTCTCGTTTTGTTCTCTCCGGTCTCTCTCTCTCTCTCTCTCTCTCTCTCTCCCACCAAGCCCGTCAGAGTTTGTCAGAGGTGCTAATTATTCCCCACTATCTGTTTTGTAACAGAATACCAGTTAACAGAATCTCCCCCCTACCCGCCGCCGCCTCCGCTATCTCAGAGCCGCCCTCATTTTCGTTTGAATCTGAATCCTCCTCTTCCATTGCTCCGTCGCCCCAACCGTCACAACCTCTGCCGTCTCACCCGCTCTCAATTATCATCAGGTACTACTCTCACTCATCTCCTCACTCTCTCCGTCCATTGATTTACGCACACATATATGTATAGATTACGCAAATGATATTTAGATTAATGAGCTCAGATTTTCAGAATTGGTTTGAATTGCGGAAGGCCCCGATTGTTTGGGTTTGCAATTGCCGCTGAGCTTGTGCATTTTATGCCTCTGTGAGTTTCTGAGCTGATGCAGTTGTTCGTGTTGTATCTGGATGCAAGCGGAGGCGGCTACGGTTGGGAAGGTTAGGCACAGAAGATTGGTGAGGGAAATGAGAGGCTGTTGGTGGCACAATGCATGCCTAATCATACTCTCTCTAAGTACCTCTTTCCCTGTATGTTTCTATCTCTCTTGATACCTATAAAAACTTGAATCTTGCTAATTTCCTCCAGAAGCCTCATGTCGTTGCAACATATTGTATAATGTAGTTTTGCTTTAATCATTCTTCTAGTTGTAACTTGTAACTTGTAACTTAATGCAAATGCTTGGGGAAGTGAAGTGATCACCAATCGTGAGTCAGCATGTTCACCTGTGTCCAAGGACTCTCACTAGGCATTTAGCTGCAAACACAATCATTTTACTGGTATGAATTCTGCGTAACTTACATGGTCTTTAATTCTGTCCTAGTTTTTGTAAGGATTCTGGATATGGGTTTTGTTTTCAGTAATCTGGCATCAATTAGATGGGTTTTTGAGCAATAATGGATTAATTTGGTCTTTTCTGGTTTTTGTGTTTAGTGTATCTTTGGGATATCTGTGATGTAGTTTGTTGTTAGTACCAAAATAAAATTTAGTGGATTTCAAGGGTAGTTTAAACAAAACAAATGTGCAGTTGTCATGATCATTCTTAATGGTGTTGTCAGTTGTCTGCAAATTTTCCCTGTACATATCATCTGTTTTCCTATAATCTGATTGGAGTTAATATAAACTTATTATTGTGGAAAATTAGTTTCTGTATGAATTTTGGACTCTGTCATTGCATGCTTAGAACAGTAGAGATTGCCAAAGAAAGATTAGTCTTTGAAAATGAAATCTGCATCCAAAGACAATTAAGACCACCTTGGAAAAACCAAGTATGGGTGCTATCACTCTATTTCCCTATATCCCTGCTGAAGTGGGTTTGGGTTCAATCTTTGGAAGGGCATCCTTGAGTTTAAGGACTTGTTAACGAATGGATTAGTCGAACGACATAATCTTGGCATGTAACTAATGAGTTTTCCCTGTGCATATCAATTAATCATTTGTCTTCCTTACAGATAAAGGGTTTGTTTTGGGGAGGGTGATGGCAATGCTGCTACCGTCAACTAGAAATTGTTGAATCTACAAATGTTGGCCCCTTTCATTTCAGTAAAAGACTTGATACAAAAGTTCTTGTAATGTTTCATAACTTCATTCTTTTTCCTCTCAAGCGTTTCATAACTGCAGATTTTGATGTTGCATCAAAGTTTTATCTCTCTCTTCTCCTTTATTGGTTTTGATAGACAATGATGTGCTAGGGTAGTGTGTTTGAAGGTTCCTTAGGTTTGAATCCTTGGTTTCCTTACAAGTCCTGAAAACCAAAAGAGATATTTGAATCTTGCTAATTTCCTCTAGTAGCCTCATATTGTTGCAACATATTGTATAATGTAGTTTTGCTTTAGTCATTCTTCTAGTTGTAACTTGTAACTTAATGCAAATGCTTGGGGAAGTGAAGTGATCACCAATCGTGAGTCAGCATGTTCATCTGTGTCCAAGGACTCTCACTAGGCATTTAGCTGTAAATACAATCTTTTTTCTGGAATGAATTCTGCTTAACTTAGGCCCTCTCACGTATATATTTCTCATTTAATCCGATATTAGAAAATAGTTACCACGTAACCAAGTAGTAGTAGCACTACCACAATGCCCTCAGACCCTCTCATGTATATATTTCTCATTTAATCTGATATTAGAAAATAGTTACAAAAAAAAAGGAGAACTAGGAAGAGGAAAGAAAGAGTTAGGGTTTCCAATCCAAACATTCTCCTTCCCAAAATGGATCAAGCAATCAAGATGGGTATGAAATATTATTTTCTTGCTCCGTTTTTATAATTAAGATCCCTAACTCTATATATAATGTATATTTAATTAGCATTTTGATTACAAGATTCGATAATTAATTAGCATATCATTAATTATCTGATAATTACTTTTCAATTTGTCTAGTCGCACTAAGAAATCAGTTGACCTCATCTAATTGCTATGCAATTAAGGTATTTTCGCTAAATTCTCTAGATCCATGTCATGCAATTTCCTTTCCTAATATGTTAATTAATGATTATAGTTCTACCTCTTAATTTCTTGCTTAATTTTATCTCTTAACAACAACATTATCTCTTAATTTTAAGAACAACAAGGAAATAATTGGGTTGACCTAATTTCTTGCTTAATTTTATCTCTTAATTTTAATTTTATTAATTAGTAGTAACATAGAGACGAGCGAAATCACTATAATTCCTAATAATAATAATAATAATTAATAAAATTAAAATTAAGAGATAAAATTAAGCAAGAAATTAAGAGGTAGAACTATAATCAATAATTAACATATTAAGAAAGGAAATTGCATGCCATGGATCTAGGGAATTTAGCAAAACATACTTTAATTACATAGCAATTAGATGAGGTCAACTGATTTCTTAGTGCGATTAGACAAATTGAAGAGTAATTATCAGATAATTAATGATATGCTAATTAATTATCGGATCTTGTAATCAAAATGCTAATTAAATATACATTATATATATAGAGTTAGGGATCTTAATTATAAAAACGGAGAAAGAAAATAATATTTCGTACCCATCTTGATTGATTGATCCATTTTGGAACGACAATGTTTGGATTGGAAACCCTAACTCTTTCTTTCCTTTTCCTTCTCCTCTTTTTTGGTAATTATTTTCTAATATCGGATTAAATGAGAAATATATGCGTGAGAGGGTCTGAGGGCATTTTATCATAAATTTAACAAGGAAATAATCGTGTGGACCTAATTTTATCTCTTAATTTTAATTTTATTAGATATTATTATTAGGAATTATAGTGATTTCACTAATCTCTATGTTATTTCCCTCTAGCATTATATTTGCTAATTTTCTGATTAGATGCATGCATAATCACAGAAACCCAATTAGGCCGCCATTCCTTATTTCATCATCCTTTTTATGCCCATTCATTAATTCTTGACATCATGTACTTAATTCCTTCATTCCTGTATCTGCTCTTGACACCCGAGCAAAGCATAAGAAGTTTGCCAATAAGTTTCAAGAAATATACTGCCCGATGTGTAACAAGAAATTTCACACCAAGAGTGGCTTCCTCATACACCAAACATCTCACAAGAAATACTACAAAGCGTGTCCGTTCTGTAAACTCTGGCTTGCCACCAAATTTGTTGTTAGTTTGGTTTTTTGAGTATTTCATATAATTGATATTTTTATAACTTTGACTGATCTGTGTTGTGGCTGCAGGGGAAAGCCTGCCCTCAAGCCACCTCTTGCTTCTTGTGATCATGACGACTCTGATGAAGCTGCTGCTGAAGCTACTGTTGGTCATGATGGTTAAGAAGGGGAACAAGTGGATGGCTAGTTCTTGTGTTTCCTTCTGAAGAATGCATGGTATCTCACACTACTGGGTTTGCTGCAATTCATCTTTGAACAAATAACTAGCTTTCCTTACACTCACTCTACATATTGGTGTGGTGGTCTCTTGGTTTTGGAGAACCCTATATAAAGTTGATCTCACTAGTTAATTTCCAGTTGATCTCACTAGTTAATGTGTATGTCACTAGTTGGTCTCTTGGTTTGGGATATTCGTTTTATAAATTTTTTCGTATGAATGTTGTGTTTGCATTTTTGAAACATAGTCAATTGAGTGATTTAGCCTTCATATTTTTGAAGACGAATGAATTTGGTTGATGGGTGAATTGGGTTACCATATACCTTAAAAGCTAGCGTTGTTGTTGTCGTCGTCGTCGTCTACATGTGGGGTTGGAATGAAAATTAAGTTCATGTGTGGGTTGAACTAGCACAGTTTGTGTTTTTATTTGGACTCAGTGTTAGCTTTCCCCTCTATTGGTGGCTTGCACTATTCTAAAAATCTCCACTTAGCACTGTTTAGGTTCACCTAGGTGTTAGGCGGTTGGCCAACACTTCGATTTGTTCCTAGACGTTTAAAAATTAAGAAAGAGCGCTTATAGGCCTGCCTAGAGGTTCGCTAGCCCACCTAGACCCGTCTAGGTCGCGACTCTCACCTAAACATAAAATAGATAACTTTTATTTGGGATTTTAGTTTTGCAATAAATTCCAAGAGACTTGTTAAATACTTGGATAGACACTCATTATATCCTTGTGTCTCATATTTTCAACATATTCTAGTACTTTATAATCTATATGTCATTCTATTTTGTACTTTATGTACTCCATTACAATTATGTATTTATTTACATGTTATATAATAAATTTAATTAAAATTATAAAAAGTCGCCTAGGCTGCTACCTACTGCAACTACCGCCTAGTACCTTTGAGAACCTTAGTGACTTGGGCACCTTGTTTTGAGCCTTAAACGAAATTATCTTTGTAGAGTAATTTTGGAATTTAAAAAAGATGCCTAGAAATGGGAATGACTATGTTGACAAGGAATCAGTCATCGAACCTTATTAAAAATGATTAAGAATTGTGTGGAGCCAAACATAATCAAGAAAATCACGGAGACAACACATGAACTTTTGGGTTAAGAAGATCAAATTACCCTCGAGGCACACCGAGATTCCTATGTGCATGCAACGGACAATAACAGCTCAATCAAGGTTAAAGGTGATCAATTTATGAAACATGCTACATCTTACGGGATGCACATGTATGCTTATAATCTTTGATGCCATAACTATATCCACGGCTATGAATGTTATTATGTTGATTAGAATTATTGTATCATTATGGCATGCTTATATTCATGTAGTTTGCTCATCATTGTTGCACCTCGGTGTTAGTGCTCACCCCGGGCTAGGGCCAGTCCTTCACGTGTATGTTCACCTCTCGCATCACACTCACCTTGGATCCAAGTAGGTGCCAGTCCTATCATACAGGTCGCATTAGGCAACTCCGACTTGTAGGTGATCGCAATTATTGCTAGTCTTCACGTGAACGTAGAATAGAGCGTATATTATGATTACACCCAGTCCTGTCGTACAGGTCGCATTAGGCAACTCCGACTCATATGCTAGCATAGATTGATAAGCAATAGGTTAGTCGTACAGGTCACATTAGATGACTCCGACTGGTATGCTAGCATAGGTTGTTGAGCACCTGATTTTACTTATAGTACTATTGAGATTTGGTGATTTTGGGATGTCATGCCTTATTTATGTTTTGCAGGCTATGGTAAGTATTTTCATACTATATGTAGTATGTATGTTTCGGAAACTATACATGTTTTACGGCGAAGGGTTATAACGTTTTCAAAGGTTACCCTTGTTTTTCGCACCTCTAGGTTTTAGCAGCTGAACTTTTGTATCGACGAGGATTATTGGCAAGTCTCAGTATAGGTGGCTACCTTTGATGGTATAATCCTTATCCTGTCTTACTATACTTACTTATGCTCTGTCATCACGTGTGAAATGGGTTCATTCTCGCTCACAGCGAACTCTTATGTTTAGGCACTTTTAGGTTTAAATTTATTCACATTTTCCACATCACTACATTTTATAGCTTCGTCACCTTCCAGGTGTCGGCTAGCACAGCTCGATTCGGAGCCCTAGTGGACATTCTGCGTCGGGGTGTGTCAATTTTGTATCATAGCATAAGTTTGGGCAGTATTGCATTCATCACACGCTTGATGTAAGCATTCTCGATTCTTGAGCCTAAATGTCGAATTTTGCCACCTCATCGACTACCAAAAACATGTTAGGTTTTCCTAAGTTTTGGGTGGATTAGGCGACTTATTAACATTCGAGAAAATCACTTTGGCAACTGCCTCTAAACTTTAAGTGAAGAATTTCCCTGCCAAGGAAAGATGCAGATTTGTGACAAGTTGTAGGCCCTAAAGCAGGGCAACTATATCGGTAGTTGTGTATCATGGGAAATTTGGTCACCAATTCCATTACCATCTAGTCATTCCTTCCAACCCTTTTGAGAATGAAAACCAGAAATAGTTTTGCTTCCTTGATGGTACCCATTAGTATACCACTTTTTAGAATTCCTAGGAAGCTTTACTTTTCATCGAAATCTTTGGAAATTTCTTGTGCGACATTGTGGTGCTAAAAGGGTAGCACTCGGTGGAGGAACACCTGGGGGACAGCCACTTTTAGTCCTTGATAGCATTAATCTCCTTAAACACACTAGTTCAAATTCCGGATCTCTAAGAGGAAGGTTGAATCTCTTTAGACATGTTCTGAAGTACGTATTAGCAATTTCTTTTTCCGGCCTTAGGGCATCTCAACCAATACTGGTTCTCAGAGTTTATTCAATGTTGTACTCGTCATTTCGATGAGCATACGTACAGGTGTACAAGTTGTTACACCTACGGTTAGCAGAAATCCCCGAAGTAATGAGTACTTTCCTTAAAATTATGAAACCACTTTATAGGGTCACTTCCTAACTAATCGTCCGAAACCATTTACCTGAGTGGGCTCTAATCTGTAATTAGCCTACGGTGGCGCTACTAATTGGCATTATTATCTAATATCTTGGAATTGTCAACCAGTATTCAGACGGTATGATTTTTGATACCAGACTATGCCAGAATACTGGCTCACAGTTTCAGGGTAACGAACAATATTAAAAATATCGTATATATGTTAATTAGCAGCGTGACTGATAAACTGATTAACAGTGATTACCTAAGCCGAAGAAACTAAATCATGGAAATTGAGAAGCAGGTTTTGTATTAGGGCAGTAAACTCATAGTTGTTTTTACCTTATCACCTATCTAGGTAAATATAACCTCTCTGACTAGTCACCTTTTCGATCACTTTCATAGGTCAACAATAGAATCGAAGTGTGAGTTAATTTTTCACTGTTAGTGTGAATTAAGTATAGAGAAATCTATGAGGACCTTTTAGTTCACGTTGTAATGAAAGGAAGTAGTATGGTACGTCCGAGGACGTACACCTCTGGCATCATATTCCAAAATTTTATCTGCAATATCACCAAATGGTGGAGTGAAGTACATCATCAACCAACTTCCTAGTATTACACCAATTTTCCTTACTTCATATTGAACGTTTCCGACGTCATTGAGAAACTTAGTTACAAAGTTTACCAATTAGGAATTTACCTAACCAGGGGCTAAATACTTTATTTTGGGAACCGTAAACTTATCCGCAAAGGCAAAAAATTGAATCTTAGGAACGTACATAAATTTTAGCAACTTAATCGGGTGACGATTAAAACCATTAACCTATATTTCAGATTGATGGTCTACCCGATCACCTTTGGAACTCAAGTTTTCTCCTGTAGCTTGTCGAATTCATAATGGTCTTATCAATGACTTTCTCACCTATTCTAGTAACGAGATTAAATTCCCTAATCACCAACAATCAGCTTTATACTAAATTGTTCAACCGTTAACCTTGATTAAGTTGGTACTTTTCTTGGGAAACGTGATCTCAGTAAACAATATTCTTTTCTTCTTCCCAAAAAGAGTTTAGCAGAAGAAGGTTGAAATTCTCACAAAGTACAGTGAAATTCGAGATATCTTTGGTCTTGTCGATTTTATCGACATTTGGTTAGCAATTTTTTTTTACTATAGTGTCTTGCCTCACTCGGGACCGAGGAAAGTTAGTTTAGTTGAGATGTTGAATATGAATAAAGTTTCTAACAACCGACCTGTTGTCTCACATCACCTTTGTTTTACACCTTTCGATGACATTGATCACTTAGAAATCCATGATGACGGAGTATCACTTATATTTTTCAACAGTTAGAATTATTCGAAATGAACCATCTTATTGATGATCAAGAGTCAACAATATCATTTTTCATTTGAAAACCGAATGGTATTTTTCGGTGGAGAAACATGTCCAAGACCTTTATCGATCTTAGACATTTCAAATACATCCTCATTTGAAATAGGTTAAATTTTTTATAGTGCTAGTGGAAGAACCAAATTAACGTCTACAATTGCACTGTCGCGTATTACCTTAGTTGTGCAAAAAGACATTATTTACCCTTGAAATACTTTCAGCTTGCCTTATTCCACTTTAGTTGGAATTCACGAGCATTGGTTTGACGTTACTTACAAATCATCAAGAAATCGTTCGAGTGGTTATAATCACTTCCTGTATCCAAATGCAACTATGGAAATATCACCATAGACTCTAGGTACAAGGTATCTTGCACATGTCTAGATTATGGTGATGTTTTGGGTGATTATCGACCGACTTGACAAGTCAGCTTACCTTCTATTAGTCTAGGGAGACTACATTCTTGATCACTTGGTAAAATTACCCATTCATGAATTTATCGGATTTTCTGGCATTTTGATCATTATCTACTCTGACGGTGATTCCATATTCACCCGTTTGTGCTGGAAGACATTCCAGTCAACCTTAGGTACGTGACTACCCTATTGCACTTCGTATTGTTTATGGGACAGTCAGATCATCTAGAAGAATTGTTCGGACACTGAAATTTTAGTTGTGACCATTAATTTCTCAATCACCCAACAAACACTCTGCTAAACGAATCTTTACTGTGGGTGATTGAATATTCCAAAAGCTACCATTGTAGTAAGATGTCATGATTTAATTTCTGTTACCTTGTATTCTAGATTAGATGGACTTGATTTGACTCTCAAATTCTTGAGTGTTCATTCAGCCTTTTCGGTGTAATTTTTCGCTAAACCCGAGTGGAGATTCATAACGAAGCTGCTCGCTAAGACATTGTGA